TGCATCATTCTAAAAATTGTAATAAAACGATGCACTTTTGAATATATTTAAATGCACGTGATAAAAGTGCATTTCATTTTATTAGAAAGTGTCATTGTAAAATTTTACAAAGTGTGATATAATAATGCATTTTTATTTATATAAAAATGCATTTGATAATTGTTAGTTTACATTCGTGCATATTTATTGCAAATTTATCTAAGAATATATAAATTTGCACAACTACAGAGATTAAAGTGCAGAATATAAATATTATTTCTACAATTTTGGTTATTATTTGGAGAGTTTAATGTGAATATATATGATATCTAAAAAAACACGTAAATAAATATCACAGTGTCCAAGTACATTAATGCTTTGATTAAAATAATTAAAATTAAAAATACGATGTACGAAATACGATAGTATTAATTATTTTAGAAAACAAAATAAGTATTCCATTGAATTAATTGTGCATAGAGTTTCAAATAAAAGTGCAATTATTCAATATTGAAGTGCAAATGGACAAGCTATGAAATATTGCATTTGAATGCAAATGATTAAATTTAAAAAATTTGGGCAAAAATCTAATAAAGAGTTTTTTAAAACGAGTTGACCGAATTAGTTGTGAAAGAATATCAATTTTGGAATGAAATTTTAATAAGAAACATTTATTAGAATAAATGATTTTAATTGGTCAAAAGAAGTTAATTATGAGTGGGAGTTATCTTGTATGGAGTACGGTGTATTAATTATTATCCAAATGTGGAGGATTGCTTCCCAAAATATGTATTCGTGCAAGTGGTGCATTCCAACTAAGACCATGTCTTTTACCTAAATGTCCTTTTCCCATTATTATTATAATGCGTATGATTCAAAATTAACTACTAACACGCGCACATCATGTGCCGTTTCTAATTGGTATTGTTCATCTATGTGCCGCACGATTAGATGAATGAATGGTCAGATTCCATTCTTTTTTCTCTCCTGAAGCTCCTTTCTCACGGGAACCAACCCTTATATATATATTGTTAATTTTTCTTTTTAGATAATTTATGTCATATTTTGGTATGTTTTGAAAGAATATTAAAATTTTAGAAATCATTAATGATTATTTATTTCTAGTAATGTAGTGTACATGACTTTTTGTTGTATCATGTTTGTGCATTTTTTACAAAATTAATATGTTTTAAATCTTAGCTCTCAAGGTTCAACTATAAATTAAATTAGAACTTTGGAGTAATATTTAACCTAGAACGAAGAAGAACGTTGAAGATTTCTATTATATTCAACAATTTGATGATATTTGTTTTATATTTTCTCATGAACTTAGTAAATTAAAAATGACATTTATCTCGTGCGTCATCGTTTTGCTATACTTTTTCTTAGTTGTGTTGCACTATTTGTGTATTTGTGAATTTTAGTACTAGGTATGCAATTTCTTGTATTTATTTCAACATTTAATGTGAGTTGGTTGGTGTGATGATATCTACTAATTGCAAGATTTGTTCAGAAATTTTAGCATGTGTTTGGCATTGTACCGTACCGTTTTATACCGTTCCGAAATGACATGGTACCGAACGGTTCTATCCTTTGAACCAGACTGCACCGAACCGTTAAAAACCTCACGGATACATTACGGGTTTTACCAATTTACCGGACCGTTCCAGACCGCACCCACCCCTACTTTCCATTTACTAATTCTCAAATACTCCATTAGTTGTCCTTATAAAGGTTTGACACAAATTTCATGAGGAAAATAATAGGGGTAGTATAAAAGGTGTAGTGAGTTGTGTTTAAATAAAAAAGTAAGAAAGAGAATGAAAAGGTAAGAAAAAGAATGAGGGTAAATGAGTATATTTATTGGAAAAAACTTTTCTAAAAATGGAAAGGGAGACAAATATTAGAAAACAATCCAAAATGGAAAGAAGATAAATTTTGGAGAACGGAGGGAGTATAAATTTGATTAAAGCTTCAAAAAAAAATTGTAAAACGAAAAATTAATAATATATCATCAAACCTCAATCTCGAGGGACGAGTCATCCGTTAAAAGACCCTTAAAAGCGCGCGTCTGGCGGATTCGAACTACAAACTTAAGTGGCAAGTTAAGGTAAATTATTAATTTATCATCATTATTTTTTAAGTAATGTGTATTTTTTGGCATTGAAAAAACGGAATTATGAATTCCGATCACTCACGTACACTTGGAGAGTGCTGAAATCTTGCACCACCGGGTCACGTCACACGGGTGTGGCGACAATAAACTCTCAATTCGAATGTCATCTAATACACACTCTAGCTTCTATGTTCTGTACGAGTTATGTGTGCCTCCTAACTATCAGAGTCAATCACTAGCTTAGACGCGTGCCAGTGTGCCACGCTCCAACTAAGCACAAAAATCTAGCTTGAGCTCTTGCTTGAAAATTTGAGGCCACTTAATGTAGGCCCAAATCCAATAACGAAGTATAAGCTCAAAAATTGTTACAAATTTATTTGAATGCACAAGTGCAACTAAATGATGGCATCATACCAGCCCCTTAGGCGTCTCTATTGGCCAATATTTATTTGATGACTTGGACTTCATATAGGCCTCTCGGTCACATACCCCGGTCATCTTTATTTGATGACTTGGACATCAAATTATGGATGGTCGATCAACCTATCTCTTTGTCATCTTTATTTGATGACCAAAACTATTTATCATGCCGAGTTACTCACGTGCGAAGACCGGTCTCGGCCATCCCCTCAGCAGATGGCGGTCGCTGCAGATCCACGCCTAGGCCGAAGGGCTCACCCTTTTGCTTCATTTTGGGGGCATCCTGTGTACTCTTTTTTCCTCATTATGATTTTATCCCACATACTTTTTCCTTGTAAGGTTTTTAACAAGGCATCTCCCAACATGGACAAAAGGTGTCGACCCTTGACCCTTATTGAAGACATCACGAGACATGCACTATTCTACTCCTCTTCACCTCGCTACATTCACCTCAAGGAGTAGGGGACTGAAGAGCGGGGGGCTTAGCGCATCCGTTGATCGAAGCACAATTTCAAAGCGCCTCCGTTGATCGAAGCACAATTTCAAAATTTTTCACGAAGTTTACTCAGCAGACGATGACAGATTAACACACAGTTCTATGGCTCATTATTAGGAATGAATATTTATGAATCGGTAAAAATATAAAGAGGTGGCTCTCTATGTTATATTTCACTTAATTATAGAGCTAGGTACATGTAAAGAAAAAGTAAATGGACAGAGATTTAATGAGGAAAAATCTCTTGACTCAAGATGGATTAAAAAACTTTGATCTTCCTTGAATAATTTGAAAACTCTTAATCTCTAAATATCCCTTTAAACATGACTACAAGATAGACTCTTCTAGTCTACCCTTGAGTCACCCTAACTCAAACCAAGTAGAATTGCGCAACCCTTGTCTTGTCGACAAGGTGCCTCTCAACCTAATGTTAAGTATACTAAACTAAGAGTGAAACAAGAACATGAAACTTGAATCTAGTCCACCCTTGAGTCACCCCCTAAGTAGCACGGAAACGGGAAACGGGAAACGTCTGAAACGTCATTTACAAAAAATACAAGACACGAAATGCGGGGGAAACACGCAAATATTAAAAACATAGGGGTTATTTTATAAATATTATAAATATATGTGAATACTTTTTATATGTGTGTGTGTGTGTGTGTATATATATATATATATATATATATATATATTTACACACACATATATATGTACAAACATGCCACGTGAGATTATTTCACCATATTGAAGTCTAAAATTATTGAAATCTTAGTCCATAAAAGTATTGAAATCTTAGTCCATTACAAATTAAATTGTAGTGGAGGCATCTTCCACGGGATCAACATCTTCATCTTCATTAGTTACATGAAGTATTCAACAAATTATAATTTATAAACATTGTAATATTGTATGTGCGGCTGCCATTGCCCGCCAAGCTCCAAACAAAAATTAAAAGTGCCAAAACATTAGAACAATATAGCCAACTACGAGTCTACGGCCTGTGCTGAAAACGACGAAGCAACAGAATAGCCAAACAATGACCTGCACGGCTGTACAAGATGACCAACCTGCTGAAAACGACGAAGGAAGGGGATAAGGGGGAACTATTACCTGAACGACGACCTGTGCGGCTGTTGACGAGGTCTGCTGAAGCCGGCGAAGCCTGCGAGTGAGTCTGCGACGGAACTTGACTGCGTAGGGTTGAAGACTGAAACTAAAAAGGCCCAATTTTTTTATATCGGAATTGGGTTTGTTTACTGGGAAACGCGTTTCAGAACTTCCCAAAATTGAGTTTTTGCCGTTTCCCACGCTAGGAAACGTTCGAACGTTTCCAATACGCGGAAACTCCCTCCCCCAGCCGTTTCCGTGCGTTATAGGTCACCCCAACTCAAACTAGGGAATTGTGCAATCTTGTCGTGTTGACAAGGTGCCTCTCAACCTAAATATTAAACATGCTAAAACTAAGAGTGGAACAAGAACATGGAACTTGAACAAGAGCAGTTCTTCAAATAATATATCACCTTGTTTCTTTGAATTTTTGGAATTACTTGAACCACAAAGACATAAAACCTGTTAGTCATGGTGTTTCAATCTTAAACAGAGGTTCCTAGGGTTGACGAGAGATTACATAAAGAACAACACAACTTATAACTTATGTTGTTTTTGTTGCATAAAAAATGGGCAACAAATTAATAGCATCTTTGAACAATGAAAAATTTCGTTGATTGCTCAAAACCAAAACCAAAAAACTACATTCGTACAGGACAAATTATATATAAAAGGGCTTTTATTAAAAAATGGTTGGAAAGTACAAGGGCAATTGAAATTTGATTGAAATATGTTAACATTTTAGATTTCTTAGTCTTATACGGAGTATAATAGAAATATATGTATAAAATGTATGGAAGAAAATGTTGAAATAAATTTATTGAGTATATTTGATTTACTATCATACAATAATGTTTATGGGGTGTTAGATAAACGCAGGCGAGGAGGTATAGATGAATAAGCCAAAGTTGGGAAGGGACATATTGATTAAAAGGAGCAGAAAAACGTCAAATCCGAAGGAAGGTCAGTAAGTTGCTAAACTGCAGATTGATAAACTTGAACGCAGATTGAAACCAACTTAGCTTGTTTTTGAATTTTAGGTCCGGCAGAAGAAGCTAAACACAGAAAGGTGAGAGTGTGGTTGTGTTGCAAGAAAGGCATGCGAAGTAGAGAAATAGTTGTGCAGCATGACCCTGAGGATAAAGAAAAAGTCGAATCATTCCGTCATTTCATATCCCGTGATAATTCTCTGCTGCTGGTAGCAGGGAAGGAACCCGGAGATCATACCCTCTTAAGGTGCGTGTGCATACATGTTTCTGCCAGCCTTATCCATTCACAAACATATCTTTATATATATGCATGGCTTCAGGTTTCTTAGAATGAGGAACTATGATATGGTAAAAGCAAAAGAAATGTTTCTGAATTACCTCCACTGGTGGGATGAGTTTGGTGTTGACCAAGTTTGCAAAGTAAGTTTGATTCACCCTTCATATTTTCTTGAGTTATTTGGGGTGAATAGCTGAAAAACCCAAATTTTGGAGCTATCTAATCGACTCCATAATATTTGGAGAGTCAATAGTGAGCGTATATAGCAGCACTCCATCTGATTCCCAATCAATTTATACAAAATCCTTGAATACACTTGCTCAATTTTTCCTCAAAATCCACCACCGTCAACATATTTCACCCGGCGGGTGTTTGGAAATGATTCTGCTTCTACTTCTTTTTTAAAGCAGAATCAGAATTAGTTTTCAGAAGCTGGTCTCCCTCACCTTTTAAAAAAACTGCTTCTAGGAGTAAATTAGAGCATCACAAGTATTTTTTCACTTTCACCCAAAAACTCCAACTTCTGCTTCTGCTCACTGAAGGAGCAGAAACCGTTTTATGAATCATACCCAAACACCCCCTAACCCGATATTTTATAATCAAAGGCTAACTTTTATTATTACATATCATTTTTTTTGTGAATTATGATTTACAAGAATGGACTCCGATGCCAAACATCTATTGCACAGACGACCTTGATAAAATGTCGAACTAAAAATTAAAATTTTACTAATAAGAACAAATAATCGGCATATGTAGTCATGTTAATGTTCAAAAAATACAAAATAAATAAACCAAACATCTATAGTTCAGTGATAAAATAAAAGCACTATACAATCCAATTCGGGATTATATAACGTGGCAAATACCAAACAGCCCATTTCTTCCAAATATCCAAACCCATATCTTTAGTACCTATTTCCCTGCGTGCTTCTGGCCGTAGTTCGACACTGGCTCGGACGTTCTTCTTGCCTTCGATCGTCGCTGCCGAGTGGGGACTGCTGGTTCGCAAGTCGCAAGTATCGTTTCAGGGGACTGTTTCCGTCTTGCCTTTGTCGATTCACAAATATAGTTTGAGAGAAGGAGGTGCGGTCGACTAAAGGTATGTTTTAGAAAATGAGAAATGCCTCGATTCAATTAAAAACCGTTTCAAAAATGTTTCCCGAACATAGCCCAAAAGCCCAATACCTCTGAAACGTTTCTCGTCGTTCCCACGGCGCTTCCTGTTTCTGAAACCGGGAATGGAATGACATTTCCGTGCTTCCTTGGTTGTTGTTACTAGGGATGGCAATGGAGCGCGGTTGGAGTTGGGGTTCACCCCATCCCGGCCCCCTGTCTAAAATATAGCCCCCACCCCGCCCCATCCCCCACTACTATTTGACCCACCCCGTCCCAGCCCGACCCGCTTGACCCACGGGTACCCAACAGGGAAATATTCCTACAAAATTAACAATATTTAGACTCAGACAATTTTTTCAAAAATCAAACAACACTTCTTGTACGTAGCAAACCTTTTAGTTTTTAAGTCTTACCATCTCATTTCACATCTAGAACACATTATAGATTATACACGTTTTGATTTAGTCATTTTATCAAACACTTCACTAGTATTGATTAACTCTATAATATTTTCTCCCTTCATTCAATCAACCATGGTCATTTGATAACATCTAGGATGACCTATGGTTACCAGATTTTTAAGAGTCCTAACTACAATTATAAAGATGACATTCCTAAGAAAAGAATTAATGCACCATAATAGTAAACGAAGAAAGCATTGACCCTGTGCCTGAGGCGTTTGAGCTAATATCACTTTATAACTTTCTCAAATTCATTTTACTTTATGATTTTGATAACCAATTTTACAAGATAACTGAGCTATTAAACAAGAATTAGATAGACCCATTAGACACAACCATTAGATAGGAAACAACTAAACCCACCGGGCCACTATGCTATTTTAATTACTTAGTATTAGTAATTACCTATTTATGACTAAAATGAAGACTATTTTACAAAAATGTAACTAGTGATTAGAATAGTAATGAAATTATAATAACTTATATTCAAGTTTTAAACTTATGTTACTATGACACTACATTGTAGTAACTAATAATCGTATTTGTGTAAAATAAATTTTATTTTCGTAATATTTTGGTTAAATACCCTTGTTATTATTAGTATTATTATAGTGATTATTATTAATTATTAATATGTGTATATATACGGGGACGGTGCGGGGACGGTGCGGGGGGTGCATAACCCATCACCCGCCCCATATTTAAGCGGGGAGGAAATAATTCCCCATCCCCATACCCGCCCCACCCCACCACCCGCCCCAACTCCCCCGCGGGGCGGTTCCCCACGGGCTCCCGCCCCCATTGCCATCCTCAGTTGATTCTTCAGACATTAAATAAACAACAGAAAAATGTAAAATAATATATTAAACATGAGATTTTAATTCTAGCATTTGAATCTACTTAAAAGAATTTTGGACTAAAAACCTCAAACAATTGAGACCCTATATTTTTTAAATTTATATATGCTATATTGGTGTTATATGAAAAGATCATAAAAAGTTACAAACAAATTGGGAAAATTGTCAAATCAATCCAACCACCATTTCGAAATGTCAATTGAGTCAACATACTATTTATTCAATCTATTAAATCTACAGTGTCAAAAAATGACCACATTTTCTTTTTTCTCCGTTAAATGACCGGTTTCCCCTATTAATTGGCCTATGTGGACCATTCACGTGGCATTTTCCCTGTATGCGCTGATTTGGCCGTCCATGTGGCATTAGCGTCTCTTTTTTCTTTTTTATTAAATGTTTTCTTCTTCTTCATTCTCTCATTCAGTGCAACTCTTCTCCCCATTTTCTTCTTTCCTTTTTCTTATTTCTCTTCTTTTTTTTCCTTCTCCCCCTTTAGCTTTCTATTCTTCTACCATGGACCTCTGCCACCATCATCTCCATCTACCTCTTCGCCGTTGTCGCCTTCTCCGTCGCCACCTTGTTGCCATTGAAGAAAAGGAAAGGTTGCCATAGGGTTGCCATAGTCACCTTCTCTAGGCATGAATAAAGGGGGTATAGAAGGTTGGGTGGGGTAGAAGAAGTAGAGTGAAGAAAAGAAAGAAGGGAAAAAAGAAAGAAAAGGGAATCAAGAAAAGGTTGCGTGAGGCCGTGGGGATAAGAAGTGGGAAAGAAGAAGAGGTGAGAAGGAGTTGCAGGGAGAAGAAGCAAGAAGTGGAAAAAAAAATGGAATGAAGAACAGGGAGAGTTGCAGGGGCGGATGAACAAAGGGGTATGAACCAGGGGAAAAAAAGGGAAGAAGACAGAAATGGAAAAGGGAAAAACAGGAAAAAAGGAAGGGAAAAAAAGAAACAATACAAAAAATTTTAAGTGGCATCCAAATCAGCAACATAAGGGGTGATAGAGTATTAACTCTTAGAGAGAAGGGTGAGCTAGAGAGAGAAGCAATTTGTATTAATGATTTTCGAACCCTTACAACTACTCTCAAGGGGAGTATTTATAGGGAAAAGTGGGCTGGGCTCCCAAGTCTTGGGCTTGGGAGGCCCATTACCATATAAGGCCTCTATTGGAGTGATTACACTCCAATATATTAGCTAAGTGTGGAAATCCGGCTTTGTGAGCTTTCTGTGGCTGATGTACGTCTGGCTGACGGAGGCGTGGTCGACCATGGCCGACGTACGTCTGACCGACGTACGTCTGACCGATGGAGGTGTAGCCGATGGTCTGGCCGACGCGTCGGCAGATAGAGACATGGCCGACGGAGACCCGGCTGACGGGGGCACCCTGGTTCTCCTGGTTTCTGGACCATATTCTGAGTTGATATCTTTCTGGCCGATGGAGGGCCATCTAGCCGACGGAGGACCCAATGGGCGACATCTGTGCTTCCTCTTAGTCTTCTGAGTATGTGGGTCATGGGGTCTGGATCCATATACTCCATCAGGAGTCCCCCACTCTCTAAGCTGAGATGTAGACGAAGTGAAAGGGAGTAAATCCTTGTTGTCTTGATGCTTTTGGCCTTCGAAGGATTACCTGGGAGTTCTGGCGTTTCTGGACGATGCGGTGCCCATGGTCTTGAGGATGAGGAACGTCCTTGGCTTCGAGGACGATATGTGTGTTTGATTTTTAGGACGATGGGTGTCCTTGACTTTGAGTATGATGTGCGTCCTGCTTTGTGCTTCGGCTTGGCCGAAGGGTGACCACAATACTGTGGATGTTGAGATACCATTGTCATTGGCTTGTGTTCGTTGCATTTTTGAACTTGTTTATCTTGGGATCTTTTTGGAACCCGTGGAGGCCGATATAGTCCCCCAGTCTCCCACTCCTCGAGGCACATGTAATGAGGTGAAAAGGAGTAGAGTAATGCATGTCTTCAATAGGGGGCCGATGGTCGACACCTTTTGGGGAGATGCCTCGTTAAAAACCTCATTAGGAAAACCCCTGTGGGAAAAATCCTAATGAGGGAAAAAGAGCACACCGGAGACCCCCAAAATGAACTCCAAGGGGTGAACCCTTCAGCTTGGGTGTGGAGCTGTAGCGGTGTCCGTCTGCTAAGGAGACGTCCGTCTGCTGGTGAGGCCGACGGCGCCAAATCTGAGGACGAGGCGATGGACGCTTGTCTGAGCATATGGATGAGGCAATGGATGCCTGTATGAATAAGAGGAAGAGGCGATGGACGTATGTCTAAATATGAGGACGACGGTGCTGATGAGCCGTGCGTCACCTGAGGGCGACAGTCGCTATCCAAGAAGGGAATGGCGAGCCTAGTAGTTAGCTCAAGACTTCAGTGCTGAGGGGGCCGACCTTGAGATAGATCATCACACTGAGGCTGAGAGGCCGATCGTGATATGAGGACGAACGGCGTTGAGGAGCCGGTTCATAAATGATGACGAGGCGATGATGAAGCCGACCATCAAGTAAAGGCGATGATCACTATCCAAGAGGGGATTAGCGAGCCCAATCGATATAACAAGACTTCGACGCTGAGGAGACGATCTTGAGATAAATAATCACGCCAAGTTCGAGGGGCTGGTCGTGATTTGAGGATGACGGCGATGATGAAGCCGGTCCAAATAAATGATGACGAGGCGTTGATGAAGTCGTTCGTCATGT